GTTAAGATAAAAGTCACATTTCCAAACCTCAGCCAACTTATCCAGCACAGACAACTCACTCTTAAAAATGCTCGAGTTTAAAGCTCTATATAAAGTACAAAAATGTTCATTTTAAAAAATACAAATTTCTTACCCAAGATTTTAACCTTTGAGCTTTAGATCGAAAGGCCAACACTCAAGCGATTTGTATCACCACAAACAGCTTAATTTTAAAATGTAAATGGCTAAAACATCAATACAAATGTTAAAATGTCACTTTCATTGCGGTTAGTGCAAAAATGACGTCACTGACCCTACCTATGCATTGCCCCATTGGATGCACTAATTTGAAAATGTAAATGGATAAAACATCAATATAAATGTTCAAAGTTAACTTTCAATGGGGTTGGTGCAAAAATGACGTCACTGACCCTATCCATGCATTGTCCCATTGGATTCACTACATCATAATAAACAACTTTTGTAAACACACCAAAGCATTTGATGTGACTGTTTACCTTAAAGAAGGAAAACAAAAAATTGTACAAAAAGAATATGTTTCAGGCAAGTTTCGAAGTGTCGACTCCTACGTTGGTATTAATATATATTTTTTTACAAAACCTGTTTGCAAAGCACTCGTGGAATAAGGCTTCCATACCAAATATTAATTGGTTTAAACGAGCCAAGTAATTGATTCATTGATGGCGATTTTGATTCAGGCATGCATTGTGTCTGGATGTCAGTATGTGTGCAAAATTTGGCATCGATTGGACAATGGTAACTGGACATTTTGATTACAAGATTTGACCACGACACACAATGAAACTTTTTTTTCCACAACTTCGTTTAACTCACCGTCGAGAAGTACGTCAATGATGCGGCGCCTGCTACCACATAAACGCTTACTTGAATTAATAGGTTACATGATAAATGAATCTTCAATGTACAACTTTTGTTTGAACTAAATTTGAGAGACAAAACACAGACACGGAGATACACAAGCAGAGAGAGACAACACAGTGTGTCTATGTTGTGTGTCTCTCTCTGTGCGTCTCCGTGTCTGTTCCGTCTCTCTCTCAAATTTAGTTCTACCTGATGACGGTTGCTTGTCTTGCAATCGAAACGCCGTACTCTGTTACTTAATTTATTTTCTTTCTACGTGACTTTACCGAAAAGAACCAAAGAGTAATTCCCGCAGTCACGAAAGCTTCAAATCAAGTTTGGCCGAAACTCGTTGACACGGAGCAGACGCGCCTGAGACACATGGCGCCTGCTTCTTGGGCAAGCCGATTCCAGAGTTTAGTGACTGCGGCCTTTTTCACGTACACAAATATACATATAGGTCTTCTTGGCCACGGTAATTCCCTCCCTTCTCTATGCTTGCGAAACGTGCACCCCCTTAATGGAACATCTTCCCCGGTTAGAAACATTTAGGCTGGCCTGCTAACGATCCATCCTGGGTTTAACCAGTTTCAGTTTTCAGTTGTATTTATTTGGTATAGCCCTGTGAGCCATTCGGCTCTTGAATCGGGTGCAACCGCAACAAACAAAAACACGAACAAGAAAACATCTTAAAGTGATGATGTGACTGCAAACAAAAAATCCAGGAAAAAACAGCAAAATATTCCTGAAAAAGCACCATACACCAACGCTGTGTGCAAAAATCCCAGTGGGATGCAAGTCAAACAACAACAACCACAAGACAACTTAGATTAAGGCCATCAGTCTAACTCCATACTACAACAAACAAAGCAATGTAACAGTGATCACAGGAACTGTGACCTAATTTCTACAATAAACTACATAAATAACATGTAACACCAAACCCTAGAGCCATAGCTGGCTGCATGAGTCACTGCACAACAACAGGAGCATCAGTCGGAGTATCACATTTTTCAATGCACCTTTAAGATCAGCACACTAAATCAAAATACAGATAATACTTTGCAGCAGTCATCCGGAGTGAAACATTTTATTTTATTTTAGGCCACTGAATATCAGTGGCAGCTAGGGGTGTACAACTCCTCTAGAGCAGTTTTGAGTGAAGATCTCATAGGTAGTGATTCAAGTTGCAGTTTATTGGCAATAGCATTCCAGACCCTGGGGGCATCAATAGCAAAGGCCTTTCCTCCAGTTTTTGTACGGCAATAGGGAATGTGAAGCTGGTAAATGAGCGAAGACCTGAGGTCAAATTTGTTCTTTGAAACAGAGAGGATATCCAGCAGGTAGTCTGCGGATTTATTTGTAAGTACATCGTGAATAAATAATATCTGGTGCACAAGCAGTCGAACATTAAGAGATGTTAAGTTTGACCCAATGTAGAGATCACAGTGGTAAGTCCTATATGGGCAGTTCAATGCAAATCTTAATGCCGAGTGATAGATGGAATCAAGCTTCTTCAGTACAGTGCTTGGGGCTGATTTATACACGATGTCACAGTAATCAAGTAGCGGTAGTATGGTAGCTTTTATCAATTCCAAACGGAACATAGGGGGAAAGCAGTGCTTGTGTCGATACAGAAAACCAATTTTTATTTGTCTTTTTACCAATATAATCAATGTGATCTTAAAAATTCAGTTTTGAATCCAGTATGACCCCAAGATACTTATAGATCTTGACTTGCTCTATTTGATAATTATTTAAGGAATGTAATTGGGGAAAAATAACTTCCTGCTTTAGTCCTGGTGAGAAGCATAGCACCTTGGTTTTGGAGGTATTCAAGACTAGTTTAAGAGCAACTAGCTGATGTTGTAGTTTGTTGAAATCACCCTGGAGCTTAGCAATCACATCATCCAGAGAGCGGCCAGCAGTAATCAGTATCGTGTCATCTGAAAAAAGATTTACCCTGGAATTATCCAGATCAGTGCCCAAGTCATTGACATATAGAGAGAACAAGAGGGGGCCGAGGATGGAACCCTGTGGAACCCCTTTTGTTATCTTAACACTGTTTGACCTCCAACCACCTGTGAATACAGTTTGGGTGCGAAAAAAGAGGTAATTTTTTAACCATTTTACTGTGTTTTCGGCGAAACCGAGGCAACTTAGTTTACGAAGCAGGGTGTTGTGATCTACTGTATCAAAAGCTTTGGACAGGTCAAGCAAAAGACAGGCACAGTACTGCTTATTATCAAGACTACTGTAAATGTGATTCAGAGTCTAATGCAGATGTGGTGCTGTATTTTTTCCGGAACCCAGATTGTTTTAGATGTAGTTGATTGTTGGTGGAAAGGAAACTGCTAATTTGGTAGTTCAATAATTTTTCAAAAATTTTCATCAACGGAGACAAAATTGAGATAGGTCAGTAGTTATCTGGATCATCTTTAGGGCCCCCTTTGTGAAGTCGACGGACATAGGAATGTTTCCATTCTAGAGGAACTGATGCTTCTTTGATGGACAGGATGAAAATATGGGCTATAGGTTTGTATATTAGGTGACCAACAGTTAGTAGAGCAAAGACGGGAATACTATCTGCTCCGGTAGAGGACCCTTTGAGGTAGGACAGTTGTTTCAGAACATTACTTTCGTGGATTGGCTGGAAACTAAATTCGTTTAATGTTTGGACAGGGGTGTAGGAATTTGCATGAGCAGGGGTGACTCCCAATAAATTATCAAAAAGATTACCAGCTTCAGAAAAATTAAGGTTAAAATTGTCAACTATTTTTTGAGGATCTGAAAAATATTCCCCATTTCGGTTAAGCTCAACGGGCAGATTATCTGTTTTGGATGCCTTTTCGATACATTTTATTGTTTTCCAGAAAATCCTGCAATTCCATGTGATTCCAGGAGAGTGGAGGAAAAATAGGCATTTTTTGCATGCCTGATTTTTTTGACGTATCTATTCCTTAAGATCCTGTATTCTAGCCAGCCATTGGCCAAATTACTTTTCTGAGCACATGCCCAAGCCTTGTCCCTAGTTTTCATGAGCTTTGTAATCAAAGGATCAAACCATGGTGGGTGGTTGCCTTTAGTTTTAAATCTAACCAACGGAGCATGTTTGTTAAGAATTTGGAGAAACGTGTACCTGAAGGTCTCCCAAGCCGTAGTCAGGTTGGGGATATCACAGACCTTGTCAATATCTGAGTGAAGCACATCATGAGTAAATGCCTGAGTGCTGAAGTGCATTGCCTCCGGATCTGAGTGTGTGCAAAATTTGGGATTGATTGCACAACGGGAAGTGGACGAAATGTAGCATTTTATTTGAAGCTTTCGTGACTACGGGAATCCATTCTCTTTGGTTCTTTCGGTAAAGTCGACATGATTCCTTGCAAAAAGGTTTATATTTGGCGTTTTAACATCTTAACACCCCCCTGTTTACCAGAAAAGGAAAACCCTGCTCATAATTTTACTTCCCGTATGTCTGAGGCGGGGGGCCGAGTACGGAAAACAAAACGCGATGTCTGCGTTGGGTCCCTGCCACAGAAACTAGGGGAAGGAGGTTTTGCCCACTCGATGAGTAAAACGCGGTCGCAAAGGGCACAACACAAAGTTCAATCACACAATGGTGTACACAAGACGGTATATGTAACCACCAGCTTTACACACGCACACAATTGACAGTTTTCGCCGTTACACACAGCAGCGGCGTCGTCACACTATACACGCTACATCGTCAGTGACACACACAAGGGCTACGCGTTATGAGTGTTACACTTCATCGGCGACACAACGACGGTGAATAACAGATCCAAATAGTAACACGGTGGCACAAGCGGGACCAGTGCTGTACACTTTGGGGGGGATGGATCAGCGACACCATATGGAAGTCAACAGTGACACATAGAGACAATACAATTACCAAGTGTATAACAAGGCCCCCTTCACATATACATGTCCTTACACGTTAAAAAAACAAACTATATTTTTACACATCCCATCGGCCACGAGCACCTTCTCATTTCGGCAGCATTGGTTCATCAACACGGCACAGGCAAAAACTCGCAGCGTCGTTGGCGCCGCACAACACACCGCTGAGCAGTATCCACCTCCACCACCACCATCGTCGTCGCCTCGTCCCCTCTCACCTCACTGCGCTCAGGAGCTGCGCCATGTCCGCTCTCCCTCCACCTCCTCGCCGCTGCCGCCGCTGCTGATTCACGGCCGCCACCGCCGCCACGCCGCCTCCATTCGTCCTCGCGTTTTTTTTTTACCCCCCCCCCCCCGTCGCCACTCCACACACGCGACGGGAGTGCGGCGATGAGGGTGAGCGGCGGGGATATAATCAGAAGCGGTGCTGGACGCAATGAGCCTGAGCAGTAGTGTGCGTGGCGTGAGGGAAATGTTGGCGGCTTTGAGGGCCCCCAGCGAGCTGATGGGCGACGCCGCCCTGCACCGAATCTCGCGCCAACCGTCCCGTGGCGCGCAGCGCGCGCACGCCGAACGACGTCACTTCCGCTGGCGCGCGAGTTTCAGCATCCGGGTGAGCGAGGGGAGTAGTGGGGGAGGTGACGTCATCAGTGTGAGATTCCAGAAGTTGTGAGGGAGGGAGGGAGCAGAAGCACCCCCACCCCACCCCCCTCGGAAGACGGGCGCTCTACCGCTACCGGAAGATGTTCTGAGTTGTGAGTGAAGGGTCTTCCGGAAGATGTTCCAAGTTGTGAGTGAAGAGTCTTCCGGAAGATGTTCTGAGTTGTGAGTGAAGAATCTTCCGGAAGATGTTCTGAGTTGTCAGTGAAGAATCTTCTGGAAGATGTTCTGAGTTTGCGTGAAGAATCTTCCGGAAGATGTTCTGAGTTGTGAGTGAAGAATCTTCTGGAAGATGTTCTGAGTTTGCGTGAAGAATCTTCTGGAAGATGTTCTGAGTTTGCATGAAGAATCTTCTGGAAGATGTTCTGAGTTTGCGTGAAGAATCTTCCAGAAGATGTTCTGAGTTTGCGTGAAAAATCTTCCGGAAGATGTTCTGAGTTTGCGTGAAGAATCTTCTGGAAGATGTTCTGAGTTTGCGTGAAGAATCTTCCGGAAGATGTTCTGAGTTGTGAGTGAAGAATCTTCTGGAATATGTTCTGAGTTGTGAGTGAAGAATCTTCTGGAATATGTTCTGAGTTTGCGTGAAGAATCTTCCGGAAGATGTTCTGAGTTGTGAGTGAAGAATATTCCGGAAGATGTTCTGAGTTGGCGTGAAGAATCTTCCGGAAGATGTTCTGAGTTTGCGTGAAGAATCTTCCGGAAGATGTTCTGAGTTTTCGTGAAGAATCTTCCGGAAGATGTTCTGAATTTGAGTGAAGAATCTTCTGGAAGATGTTCTGAGTTTGTGTGAAGAATCTTATGGAAGATGTTCTGAGTTGTGAGTGAAGAATCTTCCGGAAGATGTTCTGAGTTGTGAGTGAAGAGTCTTCTGGAAGATGTTCTGAGTTGTGAGTAAAGAATCTTCTGGAAGATGTTCTGAGTTTGCATGAAGAATCTTCCGGAAGATGTTCTGAGTTTGCATGAAGAATCTCCCGGAAGATGTTCTGAGTTGTGACTGAAGAGTCTTCTGGAAGATGTTCTGAGTTTGCGTGAAGAATCTTCCGGAAGATGTTCTGAGTTGTGAGTGAAGAATCTTCCGGAAGATGTTCTGAGTTTGCGTGAAGAATCTTCTGGAAGATGTTCTGAGTTTGCGTGAAGAATCTTCTGGAAGATGTTCTGAGTTTGCGTGAAGAATCTTCCAGAAGATGTTCTGAGTTTGCGTGAAGAATCTTCTGGAAGATGTTCTGAGTTTGCGTGAAGAATCTTCCAGAAGATGTTCTGAGTTTGCGTGAAGAATCTTCCGGAAGATGTTCTGAGTTGTGAGTGAAGAATCTTCTGGAAGATGTTCTGAGTTTGCGTGAATAATCTTCCAGAAGATGTTCTGAGTTTGCGTGAAGAATCTTTTGTAAGATGTTCTGAGTTTGCGTGAAGAATCTTCCGGAAGATGTTCTGAGTTGTGAGTGAAGAATCTTCCGGAAGATGTTCTGAGTTGTGAGTGAAGAATCTTCTGGAAGATGTTCTGAGTTTGCGTGAAGAATCTTCCGGAAGATGTTCTGAGTTTGCGTGAAGAATCTTCCGGAAGATGTTCTGAGTTGTGAGTGAAGAATCTTCCGGAAGATGTTCTGAGTTTGCGTGAAGAATCTTCTGGAAGATGTTCTGAGTTTGCGTGAAGAATCTTCTGGAAGATGTTCTGAGTTTGCGTGAAGAATCTTCCGGAAGATGTTCTGAGTTTGCGTGAAGAATCTTCTGGAAGATGTTCTGAGTTTGCGTGAAGAATCTTCTGGAAGATGTTCTGAGTTTGCGTGAAGAATCTTCCAGAAGATGTTCTGAGTTTGCGTGAAGAATCTTCCGGAAGATGTTCTGAGTTGTGAGTGAAGAATCTTCTGGAAGATGTTCTGAGTTTGCGTGAAGAATCTTCTGTAAGATGTTCTGAGTTTGCGTGAAGAATCTTCCGGAAGATGTTCTGAGTTGTGAGTGAAGAATCTTCCGGAAGATGTTCTGAGTTGTGAGTGAAGAATCTTCTGGAAGATGTTCTGAGTTGTGAGTGAAGAGTCTTCCGGAAGATGTTCTGAGTTGTGAGTGAAGAATCTTCCGGAAGATGTTCTGAGTTGTGAGTGAAGAATCTTCTGGAAGATGTTCTGAGTTTGCGTGAATAATCTTCCGGAAGATGTTCTGAGTTGTGAGTGAAGAATCTTCTGGAAGATGTTCTGAGTTTGCGTGAAGAATCTTCTGGAAGATGTTCTGAGTTTGCATGAAGAATCTTCTGGAAGATGTTCTGAGTTTGCGTGAAGAATCTTCCAGAAGATGTTCTGAGTTTGCGTGAAAAATCTTCCGGAAGATGTTCTGAGTTTGCGTGAAGAATCTTCTGGAAGATGTTCTGAGTTTGCGTGAAGAATCTTCCGGAAGATGTTCTGAGTTGTGAGTGAAGAATCTTCTGGAATATGTTCTGAGTTGTGAGTGAAGAATCTTCTGGAATATGTTCTGAGTTTGCATGAAGAATCTTCCGGAAGATGTTCTGAGTTGTGAGTGAAGAATCTTCCGGAAGATGTTCTGAGTTGGCGTGAAGAATCTTCCGGAAGATGTTCTGAGTTTGCGTGAAGAATCTTCCGGAAGATGTTCTGAGTTTGCGTGAAGAATCTTCCGGAAAATGTTCTGAATTTGAGTGAAGAATCTTCTGGAAGATGTTCTGAGTTTGTGCGAAGAATCTTATGGAAGATGTTCTGAGTTGTGAGTGAAGAATCTTCCGGAAGATGTTCTGAGTTGTGAGTGAAGAGTCTTCTGGAAGATGTTCTGAGTTGTGAGTAAAGAATCTTCTGGAAGATGTTCTGAGTTTGCATGAAGAATCTTCCGGAAGATGTTCTGAGTTTGCATGAAGAATCTCCCGGAAGATGTTCTGAGTTGTGACTGAAGAGTCTTCTGGAAGATGTTCTGAGTTTGCGTGAAGAATCTTCCGGAAGATGTTCTGAGTTGTGAGTGAAGAATCTTCCGGAAGATGTTCTGAGTTTGCGTGAAGAATCTTCTGGAAGATGTTCTGAGTTTGCGTGAAGAATCTTCTGGAAGATGTTCTGAGTTTGCGTGAAGAATCTTCCAGAAGATGTTCTGAGTTTGCGTGAAGAATCTTCTGGAAGATGTTCTGAGTTTGCGTGAAGAATCTTCCAGAAGATGTTCTGAGTTTGCGTGAAGAATCTTCCGGAAGATGTTCTGAGTTGTGAGTGAAGAATCTTCTGGAAGATGTTCTGAGTTTGCGTGAATAATCTTCCAGAAGATGTTCTGAGTTTGCGTGAAGAATCTTCTGTAAGATGTTCTGAGTTTGCGTGAAGAATCTTCCGGAAGATGTTCTGAGTTGTGAGTGAAGAATCTTCCGGAAGATGTTCTGAGTTGTGAGTGAAGCATCTTCTGGAAGATGTTCTGAGTTTGCGTGAAGAATCTTCCGGAAGATGTTCTGAGTTGTGAGTGAAGAATCTTCTGGAAGATGTTCTGAGTTTGCGTGAAGAATCTTCTGGAAGATGTTCTGAGTTTGCATGAAGAATCTTCTGGAAGATGTTCTGAGTTTGCGTGAAGAATCTTCCAGAAGATGTTCTGAGTTTGCGTGAAAAATCTTCCGGAAGATGTTCTGAGTTTGCGTGAAGAATCTTCTGGAAGATGTTCTGAGTTTGCGTGAAGAATCTTCCGGAAGATGTTCTGAGTTGTGAGTGAAGAATCTTCTGGAATATGTTCTGAGTTGTGAGTGAAGAATCTTCTGGAATATGTTCTGAGTTTGCATGAAGAATCTTCCGGAAGATGTTCTGAGTTGTGAGTGAAGAATCTTCCGGAAGATGTTCTGAGTTGGCGTGAAGAATCTTCCGGAAGATGTTCTGAGTTTGCGTGAAGAATCTTCCGGAAGATGTTCTGAGTTTGCGTGAAGAATCTTCCGGAAAATGTTCTGAATTTGAGTGAAGAATCTTCTGGAAGATGTTCTGAGTTTGTGTGAAGAATCTTATGGAAGATGTTCTGAGTTGTGAGTGAAGAATCTTCCGGAAGATGTTCTGAGTTGTGAGTGAAGAGTCTTCTGGAAGATGTTCTGAGTTGTGAGTAAAGAATCTTCTGGAAGATGTTCTGAGTTTGCATGAAGAATCTTCCGGAAGATGTTCTGAGTTTGCATGAAGAATCTCCCGGAAGATGTTCTGAGTTGTGACTGAAGAGTCTTCTGGAAGATGTTCTGAGTTTGCGTGAAGAATCTTCCGGAAGATGTTCTGAGTTGTGAGTGAAGAATCTTCCGGAAGATGTTCTGAGTTTGCGTGAAGAATCTTCTGGAAGATGTTCTGAGTTTGCGTGAAGAATCTTCTGGAAGATGTTCTGAGTTTGCGTGAAGAATCTTCCAGAAGATGTTCTGAGTTTGCGTGAAGAATCTTCTGGAAGATGTTCTGAGTTTGCGTGAAGAATCTTCCAGAAGATGTTCTGAGTTTGCGTGAAGAATCTTCCGGAAGATGTTCTGAGTTGTGAGTGAAGAATCTTCTGGAAGATGTTCTGAGTTTGCGTGAATAATCTTCCGGAAGATGTTCTGAGTTTGCGTGAAGAATCTTCTGTAAGATGTTCTGAGTTTGCGTGAAGAATCTTCCGGAAGATGTTCTGAGTTGTGAGTGAAGAATCTTCCGGAAGATGTTCTGAGTTGTGAGTGAAGAATCTTCTGGAAGATGTTCTGAGTTTGCGTGAAGAATCTTCCGGAAGATGTTCTGAGTTTGCGTGAAGAATCTTCCGGAAGATGTTCTGAGTTGTGAGTGAAGAATCTTCTGGAAGATGTTCTGAGTTTGCGTGAAGAATCTTCTGGAAGATGTTCTGAGTTTGCATGAAGAATCTTCTGGAAGATGTTCTGAGTTTGCGTGAAGAATCTTCCGGAAGATGTTCTGAGTTTGCGTGAAAAATCTTCCGGAAGATGTTCTGAGTTTGCGTGAAGAATCTTCTGGAAGATGTTCTGAGTTTGCGTGAAGAATCTTCCAGAAGATGTTCTGAGTTTGCGTGAAGAATCTTCCGGAAGATGTTCTGAGTTGTGAGTGAAGAATCT